GCCCTTCGCGCAGCCGAAAGGAGCCCAGGACAGAGAGCGCCTGCAGGCACGCAGCCAGGACTGCCAGCGCTGGCTACAGGCGCGCAGGGGAAATGTAGTTGCAGCGCAGGGTACAAAGAGATGTCGCTGTCTGGAGAACAGCACCTTAGGGCATATTGAACGTCCCCCGACATTCTCTCCTCTTGTCTTCCCCGCTCCCGCTGGCTGCAGGCATGGAGACCCCCAGCGCACAGGAAGCCGCAGGGCAACAAGCCAGCGCACCAGCCAGCGCACCAGCCAGCGCACCGGCGGGACAGGCCACTGGCTCTGCGAACACCAACACCGTGAAGAAGAGGAGCTGCCCAAAGAAGCAGCGGGGCAGACCCTCGTCCCAGCCCCCCAGGAACATCGTGGGCTGCAGGATTTCCCACGGATGGAAGGAAGGCGACGAGCCCGTCACCCAGTGGAAAGGGACCGTTCTGGATCAGGTGCCTATAAACCCCTCTCTCTATCTGGTGAAATATGATGGGATTGACTGTGTCTATGGACTCGAACTTCACCGAGATGAGAGAGTTTTGTCTCTTAAGATTCTCTCGGACAGGGTGGCATCATCTCAGGTCGCTGATGCAAACCTTGCCAACACCATCATTGGCAAGGCTGTGGAGCATATGTTTGAGGGCGAGCATGGTTCTAAGGATGAGTGGAGAGGGATGGTGTTAGCCCAAGCACCAATCATGAAATCGTGGTTTTATATTACCTATGAGAAAGATCCTGTGCTGTACATGTACCAGCTTCTGGATGACTATAAGGAAGGAGACCTGCGTATCATGTCAGAGCCCAATGAGCCTCCTCCAGCCGAGAGGGAGCCGGGGGTTGTAGATGGCCTGATCGGCAAACATGTGGAATATACCAAAGAAGATGGCTCCAAACGGATCGGCATGGTCATTCACCAAGTGGAAGCCAAACCCTCTGTGTACTTCATCAAGTTTGATGATGATTTCCATATCTATGTCTATGACTTGGTGAAAAAGTTCTAACTGTTAGTGTAGAATTGGCCACATTTGTGAAAGCGAATGTATAGTTTGTGGATTTGCAAAATGATGTTGTTTTCCAGTGTGTTGGAACTTAAGGGTCCTGTTGATTTAGCATTGTTGCCAGCATAACTGTTGTTTGTTCTGAAAAATACAAATGTGTGTGGACATGACATGCTGTGTGGAAGGACTTTATCATGTTGAAGAGACTGGGCGTGTTTGGTGGATGGGCATGAAAGGAAGGGACAGCTGTAAATTCAGGCTGTGAATAAAGTTCAGCTAGCATCATAGTCAGTCATCTAAAAATGGAATAGGACTTAGCTGGCCTGGTCTAGGAAGGAGGGAGGAGAAGGAACTAGAGATGGGCTGTGGGGGGAGGGCAAAGGGGAGGTTACTGCTTAGGAAGAAGTGGGGAGGGCCAGAAATGGAGGGGCTTCCTGGGGGGAGGGATGTCTTAGCAGGGGGCGGCACCCAACTGGGAGGAGATGAGAATAACAGAGGGAGAGGGAGCTCTTGGGGCTGAGAGGAAAGCAGACTGAATAACTTGAGTAGAGAGGGGCACAAAGAATCTCAGAAGAGGTCCAGAGCAAGGGGAGAAAGACAAAGTTGGCAGGGATTTGGGGAGAGGCTCAAGGATACTTACTCTGAGGTAGGACCTGTGCATGTGAGGACCAAAGGGCCAGGGATACTGAAGAAGGAAGCATTCCAAGAAGAAAGACTGACCAAGAGAGTGAGCCTAGAGAAAAAGCGGTGTGGGGAGTGGGGCCCAGGAGAGATGGGAAGGCCCAGGAAAAACTTGCACTTCTGACATGTCCACATTGCTGTCCCTGGCTCTGGGCACAAAACATGAGGCAACGGAAAGAAACCAGGTGGCTTAGGGGTTCCCTAGAAGGGTATTTTGACAGGGATGACTCAAGGGTTAAGCAGGAGCCAGGTTTATATCTAAAAGTTCTATTTCAGGGACTTCATGCCACAACTGCAAAGCAGAACCCCTGACCCTCAGCCTAAACACACTAGCATTGTGCATTAAGCATGTGGCTGTGGGTGGCCTCATTGCTCAGAGGACCCAGGTGCAACAAATCCTGAAGGTCTTGGTTCCTTACCCTACACTGTCTAAGCAATTCCTGTGGGAATGGGTCGGTGGGGCTCTCAGATCTGAAGAGCTGTGCCCTGTTGCATTTGGAAAGTATTTTATCCACAAAACTGGAACCTTGCAGAACCCAGCAGCATCAGTCCCTTCATTGTTCTTCCTCTGGCTGGACTGAACCTTGCTTCCTTCAGAGGAGGGACATCAGAGGATTGTGCCTACTGTTTCTCTCCAGGGCATGGGCATGACAGTCCATACTTCTCATCGTTGGCTTCAGTCCATGCCTCTCACAGGTGGCTCCAGCCAGTGCCCACCAAACTGAGGTCTGCTGTCCCCAGAAGCCCCATCTGTTGGCTGTATCCCAACAGGTGGGCTGGCTACTGACTTCTCCGGGAACTGCTGGCCAGTTTTGCCGGCCCAGGCACATGGGGAGCAGTGATGGGAGTTAGTGGGGCTGTGTTTCCAGGTGAGCTGGATGGCATGGGAAGCCGGGCTGGGGTCGGTGGCTGGGTGTCACTCACCCCTTCGGCTCTGTGTGGCCACAGAGAGGTGTAGTGCTTGTTGGTGTGAGGCTGCAGTAACCCCAGTAAAGTCCCTCAGAGATACGGTGTCCTGACACATGGGCCCTACTCTTCCTCTCCTCCTTGCCTTTCCCCAGTCCTGCTATTAATGTTCCCCTCAAAACCCTCTCTCTGGTTCATTCCCTCCACCCTTCACCAAAATATGTCCTTGTCCTGAAAGGAAGAGATTTTGTGACTACCCTTTGCCCAGTTTTCCTAAAAAGTAGGGAGAGGGGAGGTAGGGAGTGCCAAGAGTTGAAAAAGTAGTAATACCTATTCATTCTACACCCAACATGACCTGAACCTTTTTCTTCAAGAATGACAAAAGTCAAGCCCACCTCGCCATAGCAGGGCTTAATTTTCTTTCATATATCACACAATTTAGTCTGACAAACACCTGCAGGATACACATGAGCCAATTTCAGTGGGCAGTCATTTTTCATTTTGATCTTCCTGTTTTTTTCTATGTTTAACTCACTACCTGGACATTTGGGAGGTTTCATATTTTAAAAATTCTTATTTCTGGCCCACCTAAAAAAACCCCAGTAAACTGAGGATTATGGTCCACATTCCAACAAGGATACAGCAGCTGGGTCTGAGGAAGGGCTCAGCCCATTATAGACTCAGATGCTCCCTCAAGGTGGCCAAGCCCGCAGCTGGCCTGCTTCACTCTAATGAATACAATGCCTAGTTGTCCCCTGGAGGCATTCGTGTGTATAGCTTTGAGGCAAGACCCAGGGAAAACTGACTAGCTCCCCTTTTGCCTTAGTTTGACTCCCTTTTTTGTTTGTTTTAGCTTCAGCGCACCAATAGTAACTACAGGTAGCTCTCCGCCAGGCTGACTTCTAGGCACAGGCACTTATGATGAGGTATTGAAAAAAAGAAACCAATAAAATAATCCTACCCTCATGGAACTTTCATTTTAATCTGCCAGACATTAACCAAGATACAATAAATAAATCTAAAGTATTTTCAAAGTGGTAAGTGTTAAGGAGGAAAATATGGAGGAATGGGTAGTGAAAATTCCAGACAGGAGTCTGAAATTGATTAGATAGGAAGGCCAGGGAGAGCCTCACTGAGAACGTGGCTTTTGAGTAAAGACCTAAAGGCAGTGAGAGGACTGGCCCTGTGCATGCCTGGGGAAGGAGGATTCCAGGTACGGGGACAGCAAGTGTGAGCCCCCAGGACACGTGTGTCTGCCATGTTCTAGAGACACTGAGGATACCAGCATGTCTGGAGCTGGAGTGACTGAAGTAGTGAATATCAAGAAGTGAGTTCAGATAAATGCCAACTAAAGAGAACCAAAAGTGAAAACAAGTGATGGGGATCTGGGAGAAGCAGATAGCGTAGAGCCTTGGAAGTGCTAGAATGAATTTGACTTTTACCCTGAGTGTGATGGGGAACTATTTGATTCTTTTTAGCAGAGGTATGATGATATTTGCCTCTGGAAACTCTGGAAAGTAGTCTGTGTGAGGTGAAAGGATGGGAAAAGGGAGGTCAATTTGGGAGTATCCAATATTCTAGGTAATTAATTGATTATGGTGGTTTAAATTTCAATCTGGTGACAGTGGGTGTGATAAGAATTGTCTGGATTCTGGCTATATTTTGAAGCATAGCTCCATAATTTGACCTTAGACAAGATATCTGGTGGAAGAGAAATACAGCGGGTGTCAATGACAACTGTACATTTTTTTTTTATTGGGGGATGCGCGCGGGCTCGGGGCTGGGACCCGGCTCCCAGGTGAGCGGAAGCGGAGGCGCCAAAGGAACCAATTCCCCGCCAAGTCGACCTCCGCAGCCCCCCCGCCCTCTGTTGGGCTGGGGGGGAGGGAGGGAGGGAGCGAGGGGCGGGCAGGGACACAACTGTACATTTTCTGATATCCTTGAACCACACAACCTCCCCCAGATAAAAGCTGAATGATTTGGATTCTTACTGCTTTTGTTTGGGTGTATAATGCTGATGAAGTGACCTACCAGAGCGTGAAAAACTGACGAAAAAACCCCAAACCCAACTGTGTAAATTGTTACTGTAATGTTCACCCCCTTGGAATATTCCCTACCTTTCTATTCAAACCAGGTCAGAATTAAAGGGTGTAATAGGGAGCAGGTACCCCAAACAGTACCTGTCATGGATTAAAACAGTTAGTACAGAATTTAAAATTATTGGGTGTTCAAAGGAGGCAGAATTCAGACAGGCCATGAACTTACACTGTGTCTGGGTAAAGGACAGATGCCTATACTCATGTGGAATTTTAAAAAATGCATTTTCCAGATCACAGCCCATTTTCCATTCCCACGGACAAGTCATATTGTCCTTTCTAAGTATAATTGAGTTAAAATGGAGTGAGTATGAGATTAATGATTAGTTATTAGTGATGGGATTACACAATCAGTCTTGGTTTGCGCATGCATTACTGTTAAAGGAATATGGCCAGAGTCTCCCAACTCTTTCCTCAAGGTCATTATTGGAGACAATTGCAAAGTGCAATTTTGGAATGCCCAAATTTTCCTTTCCTTTCTTAGAAATAGTAACCATTGTCCTGTTTGTTTTTGTTTTTTTGTTGTTGACTTTTTTTGTTTTTCCTTAGGGAAGGAAAAAGTGGTAAGTGTTAAGGAGGAAAATAAGAAGGAATGTTGTTTTTTTGTTTTTTCTTAAGGAAGTGGCACTAGGTCTTGCCATACTTGCAATGGATATACCTTCTCTTCCAGATTGAAATTGTGCCACAGCTCAACATAAAGTTCAATTGAGGTTTCAGAGCACTAATAAATAAAACCCCTTTTCTCTTTGCAAGTTTTGTAACCATCTGAGAGACAGGCACAATCATCACAAAAATGGAGTTCCAAATATCTCCTTTGTATTCAGAAAAGCCGGATTGGGAGGACATCCTTTGTTATGAGACCCCAAGAACTTCCTCATAGGTCACACAGTCACAGGCAGAGCTAGATAACTGCAGGTCTCCCAGACAGGGACAGATGTCCCTGGCCCCCAAATCCTACTCTATTTGAGAATAAATTAGATTGAATCTTCTGCTTAAGAGAGATAAATTCAAGAGACAACTCAGAAGGTGTCGCACATATTTAACTCCCCTCAGACCAATTAAAGAAATAATTGGTAGGACTGAGGGTCCTACTTGACAACCACTACACATAGTACTTGGTAAGAGAAACAAAATGAAATCTCTTTTTAAAATAATTTTTATTGAAGTACATAATGACATACAACATTATATTCGTTTCATGTGTACAACATAATGACTTGTATATATCCTATATAATAAAAGTCTAATATGCAAATCAATTGAATGACGGAATGACCGGCAGAACCACCAGTCACTATGACACACACTGACCACCAGTGGGCAGATGCTCAATGCAGGAGCTGCCCCCAGCCTGCAGACCCCAGGCCAGCCAAGGAGGGTGTTAGCGGGGGCGGGGGGGCGATAGCTCTGCCGGTCATCCTGCAGATCGTTCTGATTGCCCAGGCCTAGGGACCCTACCTGTGCACGAATTTGTGCACTGGGCCTCT